AATAATAATAATAATAATAATAATAATAATAATAATAATAACAATAAAAAAAAAATAACATCAAAACAAAAAGAAAATAATAAAAAAAGACAGTAGAACGACAGAGGGAAAAAATAGGGTGTCTGTCTTGTGTGTGAGATTGTTAGTATCCCTTTACTAGTATCGGTGTGAACAAAGAGAAATATATATATATAGAGAGAGAGAGAGCGAGAGACAGAGAGAGAGAGAGAAAGAAGAAAATGTATCCAAAGAACATACCGCTCCCACCAGAGGCGGCCAGCCGAGCCGCCCACGTAAGTACACGCAAAGAGTTGGATAGAGCCAACAGTGGAAGTCCAATCACAGCCCCCATCACCACACCGTCCATCCCCAGACGGATGTTGGGAAGTGTGGGGAACAGCAGCGCCACCTCCTCTCCTCCACCTCCACCTCCACAACCTCAACAACTTCAACAACAGCAGCAGTCTAAACACAGTTCATCGATGAAACAATCATTACGACCCGCTCACTCCATTGTTCTACCACCATCGTATGCAGATAGTATGATGACAACAAATAGGATGGAAAATGGTTCTTTCGCTGAGGCGGCATGTAATCCGGCTGTGGGGGCTGCGATGTCTACAGAGAACTCACTGCGGGGCCCATCGCAACTGCAGTTTCCAGGCACCTCTATGTTGCCACCGCCGTATGAGGAATCCGTTTCCAACACAAATGGATTGGTGGGAGAAGTCTCCTACAATTCCCTCAGCGGCATGGGCGTCCCTCCACCACCGCCGCCTCCTCCGCCTCTTCCACAAACCGTCCAAAACACATCAACAACGGGAGGAAATGGTGTTTGTATGGATGGGGGATATTATCATGGGCCTCCAATGCGTGGATTTCTGCCGCCCGTCATTCCCCCGCATTCTCTCGCGTGGCCCACGCCCCCCACCGCACCGACGGTTCTCCCGCAGGATCCTCCAAGTTACATGGAAAGCAGCGGATGTCCACCGCCACCGCCACCACCGCAGGTGCCGTACTTTTTTAACGCAAATTCTCCCCTTACAGCTTCCAATAACATGGGAAGATCCCATAGGCAAGACTCGCATTTCTCACATAATAAGAGGAAAGAACGTAATAATAGGAGTGCTGATGATATTCCATCCGCTCGGAGAAGCGATAAGAGTGATGAGGCTGAGAAAATAAATGAACTTTCTCATACTGGTCCAACCAGTGTGCATAGTAGTGTTTCTAATCAACAACGACAGCAACAACAGCAGCAACAACAACAACAATCGATGACTTTTTGGATGGAAAGGGTAAAGCATATCTCCCAACAACATAAGCATGATGTTACTTTTCTTATGCAGGTGATTATGGTATTATTGGAACGTCTCACATCGTTAAAAGCATCTAATTATGTTAGTAGTGCTGCTGATAACAACAACAACAACAACAAGAATGGTAATATGAAACACAGTGAGAAACTCACAAATGGTGAGAAATGTGCTACCATTACAGAAACATCTCACAACAATAATGACAATGATGTCAATGAAGAGGCAAATGTCCTTAAACAACAATTAAGTGAGTTAGAGGATGTACTTCATAGCTTACAAACAGATAAAACCAAAATGAAGCCCAGTAGATCTCGACTTCTTGCTGGTATTATGACCTTACCACAGTTACTTCCAATATGCACAGATGCATCAATGGCGATGGCAATGGAAGAACCCACCTCAATTTCCCCAAATATAGAAACACTCGCAGTGGAAAAGGAACTTTTCTCACGTAGTATGGCCGCAGAAGTAAAGGCACTCATGAAGGCAGTAGACTTTGAGACAACCCGACCACTCTCATTAAATATAGTGGCTACACCATCTAGTTTAAATTCCACTTGGGCCACTTCTGGAGAATTTACTACTACTACTGCTGCTGTTATTCCGGAAAAGGTGGATGAATAAGATGAAATGTGAGTGTTCGTGAAATAAATATGTTCTCCAAAGACAGTAATAACAACAGTAATAATAGTAATAGTAATAGTAATTAATTAATTAATTAATTAATTAATAATAATAATAAAAATAATAATAGTAGTAGCAGCACTATACGAAGCTATAGCGTATCCGTGCTTGTAAAGCAGTGGATATATCAATAAGAGAAATGACGAAAACGTTGGTATTGAAGTTCTCAATACTATTTCACTTACTACTAGTTATAGTAAGATGGGACATGCCTATATGATTCTTTCTTTTTGTTTTCCTCATCTTATATGACTCACACATACATCTTTACAAACACAGACTCTTTTCCAAGAGATACAAACAAAACAATCATGTCAATTGCCATGATTAACGCCCTATTTAGAGAGAATGTCATCTGTGTGTATTATAGACGACAGATTTTTTTTTTTTTTTTTGCTCTTTTTTTGTGTTTATTTTACAATGTGTATGTGCGTTTGAAAGAGAAAAAGGAGAGAATGTGATGTAAGTGTTTTCTACACATGGGCTTGTAGATACCCTTTAAGTAGAAAATTAAAAATGAGTGAGGAAATATTAGAACTCTCTTTGTGGGGTTGATGATGTGAGAAAATAGTAAAGATCTCAATTCTCTCTATCACTATAGGAATAAGAGTAGCACGAGAGCCCCGTAGTAAAGCTGAAAGCGAATGGTTTACATATACGCCCTATGAAGGGAATTTCAAGCATGGATGGATAGTATATATATATATATATATATATATATATATATATAGAGAGAGAGAGAGAGAGAGAGAGAGAGATGGGTATATTATCATTATTATTAGTCAATTTATTTATGAGCCATCATCAGAAATTGAGACTTTGCATAGCAAACCAACATGTGAACTGTATATATGATTTGCCTTACTACTATTACTATTGTTATTGTTATTATTTATTTATTTATTTATTTATTTATTTATTTATTAATTTATTTATTTATTTATTTATTTATTCCATCATTTTTTTTTTGTCCATGCTTTCCCCCCGTTTTTTTTTTCTTTTCTTCTTTTATTTCGTTCGTTTAATTTTTTCTTTTACTTTAATGGTATGCTTTGTTTTCGTTTATTTAGGTATATTTACGTGCGCGTGTATATATGTATGAATCTATGTATTTATGTATGTATGTTTTGTTTTCTCTCTTTTATTATGGTTCTTGTATATATGTATATATGTATACATTGTCTATAGATATATTGAAAGTGTTTCAACCTAACGTCCTTATCTCATTTTTATTGTTATTTTGTTTACCTTCACTACTGTTTTCTCTCTTATTATGGAATAGAAGGGCGATAGAGGGCATAACAGGGTTGAATAGGAATGAGAAAAGTTATTGGGAGTTCGGCACTCAAAAGAGTGTTTTTCTTTTTTTTCTCTTTGTTTATCAGTTTTTGATCTTCAGTGATTTTCTTACAGGAAAGAAGGAAAGAAAGGAAGGAAGAGAAATGAATGAATGATGGAGAAACGATATTGTTCTTTATTATTATTATTATTATTATTATTATTATTATTATGCGGTGCATTTGTGTTTGGATCAATATTGTATGAAGTCGTTGGACTTTTGATAGATCCTGTAATAGTAATGTTTTTACGAAGGTGGAAAAAAAAAGATACAAGGAAAAGGAGAATAAACCTTATATATATATATATATATATATATATATATATATGCTTTGTTTTGTTTTTTTATGTTCTTTCCATTTCTTTTTCTTTTTCCCCCTTACTGCTTTTTTTTTTTTACCTGGCCTTTGGGCTGCGGAGCTTCTTTTTTTTTTCTCAGATTTTCTCTTACTTTTTTTTCTCGATTCTTTCGTGGTCGTCTTTATAAGTTTGAAATGGAATGTGTACACACACTTGTGTGGATTTTTGTTTTTCCTTTTTCTCTCCTTTACTCGTTGTGTATACGGACTTTCAGAACTCGATATGCGCATCCTCAAGGACTGCGTTAAACTTTGATATATTATTATTTACAGTGTTTTTTTTTTTTGTTTGTTTGTTTGTTTGAGTTTTCCCTTGTTGATATTACCTTCTTTGTTTGTATTTTACTTTCTTTTTATTTATTTATTTCTTTATGATTATCTTGATTCTTCTATCTTTAATTGATATTGCTCTTTTTCTTTCTTTCTTTTTTTTTTTCTCTCTCTCTATATAAAGAGAAGAAAAGAGAGTGTGTGTGTTTGTGTGGAAATACCAAAAGGAAATAAAAGCGCAATACAAGAAAAATAATAGAAGACAATTGTGATAGAAAGAAAGAAAAAAAAAGAAAGTAAAGACATAGTAACGTGTTAGGCAATATCTTCTCGTCGCTTATTGGACTACTAGTTCATTTCCGTTAATAGTTCCTTCTTTATTTTTGGCATAACGGAATTTCGGTGTAAAGAACCTAAGAAAAAAAAAAGAAAGAGTAAAAGAAAGAAATAAGCAGTACTACTACTACTACTACTAGTAATATATATATATATATATATATCCGTATATCTATAAGCAGACCTTCTCTGGCCGATAGAGAGAAAGAGAGAAAGAGTTGGTGGAGTCCATTCAATGTCCATCGCTGCAGTTCCCCGATTTCTCCTCCTCGCGGCGGCTCTTCTCCTCGCGGCGGCGGCGGCGGCGGCGGAGACTCCCGTGGCCCCGTCGGTGCTCGACAACATGTCGCCCGCCGCGCAGCAGTATCTCATTGGAGTGGTGTGCTTTGCGGTGTTTGTGGTCTCCGTCATTCTCGGGGTGGGGGCTCTCGTGGGAGTGGACTACGGGGATGACTCTCTGCTGATGGTGGAGGTCCCGGAGCCAGTCGTGGATAAGTAAAGAAAAAATGAAAAAAAAAAGAAGAAAAGAAAGACAAAAAAAAAAGAAAAAATAGGAGAGAAAATATGGATAAAGTGTTGGCCGTGAAATATCGGTTTTTTTTTTTTTTTATACAGACAAATAGGAAGAAAGTAGATTAACAATATATATATATATTTGTTTGCATATTGTTATGAGTGGGAAAAAAAGAAAAAAATTTTTTTTTTTTTTTTACTTTTTTTATTCTTTTTTTTGTAGTTGTTTTTATACTTTTTGTATTTCTCATTCTCTCTTTTTTTTTTTTTTTCTTCATTCAATAGTAGTCGCGTTACTTCTCATCATGTTTGTTAGTCTGGGTAAGTAGTGCCGTGTCTCTCTTCATTGTGTTTTAACTGTCAGGAAGTAACTCCCCCCCCCCTCCTTTCCCCCAATGCATATATTTTCTTATCATATATATTCCTTGTTTGCACATTATCTTTACTTCAATCTTGTGTATATATTCTTTTCTTTTCTCTTCCTTTTTTTATTTTTATTATTCTTTTATTTTTTTTTTTTTTGTTCCCCTACCACACACATCAGCAATCCAACAAACGGGAGAAATAACCACAAAGCGCCACATAAAAATAACCCCATAGGTGAAGAAGAAGAAGAAAAAAAGAAAAGAAGAGAAAACAGTAAAAAAAAAGAGAGAGAGAGTTAAGCCGAAGAAGAGAAATTAACGGCAATATGCAGGTAGATGCGAAGATACTCCTGCAGGACTATAGCGACTATGAACGCCTCACCAAAGCATTACACCCACAGTTCCTACATAAGGAACATCACACAGATTACTTCTTTGACTTTCCCACATTGCTGCTCGCACGGCGAGATACTTTACTGCGACTACGCGTGCCGTGTGATGAGGAAAAGAGAATCTTAGCAACAACAACAACAACAGCAGCAGTAGCAGCAGCAGCAGCAAATAACACGGACGGCGATGCCACACACTCTGCCTCTCTCACATTAAAGGATCACAGTAAAGTGGAGTGTGGGGAACAGATGTTTGGGTTTCTACAGGATAAACACCTGCCAGAGGAAATAGTGAAAGAGATTGTTTGTGGTGGAGATATTGTAAAAGTGTTGCGGCAGTACTGCAAAGATATTCAAAAGGATGCGGATACGCCAATCGCTAAAATCATTAGAGAATTGGAAAGTATCGCAGAAGACATGGAAACTCCACTGCAATTACAGCAAGTGGGTTCATATACAACTATTCGAAAGGTATATAAGTATATTTCCTCTTCTAATGGGGTAGATGTTGTATCAAAATGTGAGAGTGATATGAAGGAAAAGGAGTTAAGACAATCCATGCGTATTCGTATAGATGAAACGGTTTTTCCGTTTGGAAAAATGTACGAACTTGAGATTCCTGCTGTTTCAGTTCCACTTCATGACATTATGGAAGAGATTGGAAAATATTTACAATCTCTTAATTTAGAATATAATATGAGTTTGGAAAGTAAATATATGCGTTTTATGAAATATACTCAAGGACGTACGGCGTATAGTGAAGATACCCAGGAACTCAAACTTCAAATTATGAGTATCGAAGGATATGAGGAAGTTATTACATGGTTAAAGAGTGCTGCTGAAGCTGCTGGACCTATTTCAATAACCCAACAATCTACACAACATTCATATAAAACTCCATCTCCTTCACCTGCACGAACATTTGATATGCCTTCGCAAAAGACTGTAGAATCTGTTGGAATGGTAGCAGGATCTACACAGGAATGTGGAACACAAACATTGGTTGGTTTTACACAACGAACAACACAAGCAGATCGGGAATGTAGCCGAAAACGAAATCGTGATGATGATGATAATAATTATGAAGAGGAATATCAAGAAAATTATTACTTTGACGATGCCCCTGATGGATCACTAATACTTCAACATTGTTTTCTAAGACTACGTTGCGTTAATCGTGGTTCTTCCTTTTGCTTAACCCTAAAAGAAAAAGAAACGATAACAGAGGGATCACAGAATTGTTTTCAGCGTCGTATAGAACTTTCCGGTGATATTGCCCGACAACTCTTATGTGATCCGAGACAGTTTTTACACTCCCAACGTGAACACAATGGAATTGCCAAGATCCTCTGGGAGGACTTTGGTCTGCGGAATCTCATCTGCGTTGCCTTCTTTCGAACCAAGCGGACGATATTCCGTCAGTCTATTACCATGACCGTACCGCCTTCTCTCTCACAAGATCGTCAGCATCACTCTCATCATTCTCAACAAGAACCCTCCTCACAGGAGCACACACCATCCCCATCGCAGCAGCAGCAACAGGAACGATCCCTCTTCGCCGAGCCCGCGACTCTCCACACGGCCTGCGATGTGAGCACCGCACTGTGGCTGCGGGTGGACCGCACGTGGTTTGATGTGCGACTCCCCGCCGAACAAATCGCCGCGGCGGCCGGCGCGAGTCCGTCCTGTTCGCCCGGCGGCCCTCGACACCCGCACGGCGCCGGGGTGACGGAAGTGTACGAATTGACGGTCGACACCACCGCGAGCGGTGGTCATTCTAGCTTTAGCAACAATAGTGTTGGGCAGCAGAGTGTCTGGGCGTGGCTGACGGACGCGTTGGAGAAACGCGGTGTGGAGTGGCAGCAGGTGTCGCAGAGTAAAGTCGAACAGTACGCGGCCCTCACAGAGGCACGAATGCGGCGCATGAGCGAAGAGAGGGAATGATTCGGCATATGGACCTGTGAAGGGGGTAGAAGTAGGGAGAGAAGAAAAAGGAGAGAGAGAGAGAGTTGGGGAATGCGTTTTAGGAAGCGTCTGTGCATAGATATATATATATATATATATATATATATATCCATTCATTTGCTTTGTGTGTGTTTGTATGAGTGTGAAAGTGAGATGGGGTGTGATATTTCTCTCTCTCTCTCTCGTGTGTGTCTGTGTATATATAGAGGTGTGTGTATATAGAGTGATATCATTACTGTTGATAGTAAAAAGAATAGATGAGGAGTGAATGTGGGAAAGGAGTTTCATAGAGGATGATCTTCTACGATTATGTAGAATTTTTTTTTCTTTTCCTTTTTATATTACTATTATTTCTCGGCTCCTCCTCCTCCTCTTTAGAAAGAAGAAAAAAAAAAAAAAGACAAAATATCAATTAAAGAAAAAAAAAACAGAACAAAACGCGTTATTCCTTTCTATTTTCCGCCACACGAACAAATTTTTGCAAACAGAAAAAAAAAAAACATGGATGATTGTTGTTATTATACCTTTAATATAAGAATACATTGAAATGCAGAAGCATGAGTTTAGAAAATTATGCCATCAATAGCGATAATTTGTGTGATAGAGTAATAGTGATGATTGTTACAATGATGATCAGCTATATCTACTTCACATGGATAAGTATTATCTACTACTTGCGCCAAAGAATTATCCATTTTTTTTTTCTCTTTTTCCCTTTTTTTTTTTCTTTTAGCGCGAGAAAGAGAAAGAAAAAAAGATATATAAATGTAGGGTTATCGTGATGGTAATTTAATTGGTATTAAAAGACATACAAGTTGTTTTGTTGTTTTCCTTTTTTTCCCCCCACCTACCATTCCCATTTATTTATTTCTTTATTTCTCTCTTCACATTTACCCAAAAGCATTATCTTTCTTCCACTCCCCACCCCACCCTTCCCCCCTCACAGTTGTTATCTACCTTACACTACTCCCCATCTCTTTCTTTCTTTATTAATTATTATTATTACTACTACTATTTCTTCTTCTTCTTTACAGCAAGTAGAAGCCCAAAGAGAGAAAAAAAAAAAAGAAATAACCAAGAAAGGTACATACAAACCCCAAAGAAAAGAGAGATAAAAAAAAAAAAAAAAGAATGGCAACTGCCAAGAAGACGGCCGTCATGCCAACACACGCCTCCTCCTCGCTGGACCGCCTCCCAAAGCCACGAAAGAATCTCGCCTCCCGCAAAATTCACACCGAAGGCCGCATCGTCGCCAAGAAGGAATCGCAACAACAACACAACAGCGCAAATAACGCCAAGAAACGTCATCGCTGGCGCCCGGGCACCGTCGTGCTGCGGGAAGTACGCCGCTATCAAAACAGCACAGACTTTCTCATTGCGAAGGCGCCTTTCCGCCGCCTCGTGCGGGAAATTGTGTCGAACTTGAAGGACTCCTTCCGCATGAGTCCCACGTGTGTGGAGGCGCTGCAGGAGTCGACAGAACTGTACGTTACGTCTGTGTTAACAGATGCGAATCTCTGCACGCTGCACGCCAACCGCGTCACGGTGTACCCGAAGGACATTCAACTCGCCCTGAGACTCCGCGGCGAGCGATTGTAAGAAGAGATAGGGAAATTAGAGAGAGAGAGAGAGAGAGAGAAAGTCTGTAGAATAAAAAGGAAAAAAAAAAGAGAAAAAAAAAAGGGGGAGGAGGAGTGGGAAAAAGGTATCATAAGGCAGAAGAAGAAATAGTAAAAAAAGGAAAACAAGAAAAAAAAGTAAAAAAGAAAAGAAAAGAAACATTCAAAAAAGAAAAAAAATATATAAACAAAAAAAAAAAAAAAAGAAGGAATGAGATGATGTTTGGTATATTTCTTTGTTTCCCTTTCAATATTTTCTCTCTTATATATATGTGTTTTTTTCTCATGTTTTCCTTTTTTTTTTATTGTTTGTTTTTGTTTTTGTTTATTACGTGAGTGGCATCGCTATTGGACCATACGATGTTGGATAGAGAGGGCAATCTGTGGGGTGTGAGAACAGATCCAAAGATGTTTGAACAGAAAACGGAAAAGGAAAAAAGATGAATATTAATAAAAAGAAAAACAAAAATAAAAGAGGAACATAAAACGAAAAAAAAAAAA